CCTCTTGCTGCCTTCAGTATTTCTAGTTAATTCATATAAAATTCCCTTAAATGTAACAAATAACAAGTCTTATCAACATTGACTGGTTCATTTAATTCTTCTATGAAGCTCTCTAGTGCATTGGCATTCACCAATAGTGTCACACAACAATTTCTAGGAAACCACATGTACAGAATTTTTCATGCACCTATGACATTAAGTAGGTTGTCCTAGTTCTTGGTTAGGACTAAAAGAATAATATATCTGAAAGAAATGATTATTTTTCTTTAATATTAATAACCAATTATTAATTGAGATTAAGATATTTTTCTATTTCCTCATTCAGAAATAAACTCCTATAGGGTAATTCAGTCAGTCTTTGAAGGACCTTGCCGAAAAATTTACTCCACCTAGACTGTCTTATCTAGGTGGAATTGCTACCTCACCCAACTAGAAAAACCTTACAAAGATATTTAATGTAGGTGAATTCTGACCCAATATGCTTTACTCAGGCTTGGGGGGGGGGGGGGATGTTGCTGGGAGGGTAGATCCTTTGTCTAAATCGCTTGAGGCTGAGGGTAGTCTGGGAATAAGAGTGACATAATCATAATCACATCCTCCAGCCTGTCATTAGAATAGGTCCATTTCTCATTATAATATCCATTCTCTCATTAATTGTTAAGCAGTCAGAGCTGATAGCTGCCTATTGGGAATACCTACTCTTCCAAGAGCATATAAGCATTGAGAGGCCTCCCTGATTCATCTCTGGCTTATGAGAGAATACCAAATGACCATCCTTCTATTAACTATTCACTAGCTACAATTAATAAAAGGATTAATTACCTAGAAATTATGTCTTTCAAACTTTTTATATGCCACATATCACTTCTCAGGTCATTGCCATGAAAGAAAAAATTAGTGTCCAAGTGAAAAATTTAAATTTATCCCTATCTGTTAAAGCTTCTAGAATTATCCATATGGGGATCAAAGACAAAAAGTACAACATCTGTTTTATAGATATGGGCGCAAGATGAGTAGATGACTTATCCAAAATCACATAACTCAATTATTTAGATGTTTCATTTCCCTCTCCCCCAGGCTATCTCTCATCAAAATAAGAAACTACTATAACTGGAACCAGTGGAGTTAGACTAGAAACAATTGATAAATAATAATAGATACATATTGCTCCTTAACATTTACAAAACTATTCCATAAAAATAATGACATAAAGTAGTGAATAAATTATTATCTGCCATTTAAGGTGAGGAATCTGGGATGGAACCAAAGTGGCATAGTAAAGACAAGGACTCATCTGAACAACTCCCCCAAATTCCCCTCTAAACAACCTTAAAATACCAGCTCAAAATGAATTCTGGAGAGACAGAACCAACAAAAGGACAAGTTGAAACAATTTTCTAGCCCAAGACAAATTAGAAGGTTGGCAGGAAAGGTTTGTCTCACTGGGGTAAGAGTGGAGCACATTCAGTGCAGGCCACACTCTGGCAAATCAGCAGCAGGCCTTGGGGACAACTGAAATGACAGTGGACTCCTAAGTTCTCAGTCCATCAATGGTAAGGAGGACAAAAAAATAGTCACAAGGAGATTACAAGGGACATTTTACTAGAACTGAGAGCTGAACTCTGTTGCATTGCCTATAGGAGTTCCTGGTTGCAATCTCAGGGAGATGAGGAGCACTAGGAGAAGTAGGGGACCTGGTCACAGTTCCAGGGCAGAAAAGAGTACACATGGTCACTCATAGAACAGAGCACAGGCTAAAAGAGCAGTGACCACACATCTTAGATCATGCCACTCTGGAAAAACTGAAAACTTACAGACACTCGCCCTGCCCCCCAGAACCAGTTCTGAAAGCAGCAGCACAAAAAATCCTGAAGTTGGAACAGTGGCCCCTCCACTGCAGGAACAGAACCCAACTTCAACATAAACTTAAAAGCCAAGAAATAGACTGGAAGAAAATGATTGAACAGCAACAACAACAAAATTCCTGCCCATAGAAAGTTACTATGGTGACAGGGAAGATATAAACAAACTCAAAAGACAACAAAATCAAAGCAGCTGCATGCATTGCCTCAAGGAAAAATATGAAGTGGTCTCTCAGATCCTGGAAGAGTTCAACAAGGATTTAAAAAATCAAATAAGAGAGGTAGAGGAAAAATTGGGAAAAGAAATGAGAGTGATGCAAGAAAGCCATGAAAAAAGAGTCAACAGCTTAGTAAAAAGGCAGAAAAAATAGTGAAGAAAATAACACCTTAAAAAGTAGAATTGACCAAATGGAAAAAGAGACACAAAAATTCACTGAAGGAAAAAAATTCTTAAAAAGTAGGATTAGACAAATGGAAAACGAGCTATAAAATCTCACTGAAGAAAATAATTTCTTAAAAATTAGAATTGGGCAAATGGAAGCTAATGACTCTATGAGACATCAAGCAGCAATAAAACAAAATCAAAACAATGAAAAAGTAGAAGAAAATGTGAAATATCTCATTGGAAAAAGGACTGACCTGAAAAATTAATTGAAGAGAGATAATTTAAGAATTATTGGATTATCTGAAAGCTATGATTTTTAAAAAAGAGCTTAGACATCACATTTCAAGAAATTATCAAGGAAAACTGCCCTAATATATAAAACCTGAAGGTAAAATAGAAATTGGAAGAATCCACTGATCACGTCCTGAAAGAGATTCCAAAATGAAAAACTCCCAGGAATATTAAAGCCACATTTTAGAGCTCCAAAGTCAAGTAGAAAATATTATAAGCAGCCAGAAAGAAAAAAAATTCAAATATCATGGAGTCAAGATAACATAAGATTTAGCAAAGTCAAGATAACATGAGATTTATTTATTAAAGCACTGAAGGATTTGGAATATGATATTCCGGAGGGCAAAAGAGCTACAGTTAAAACCAAAATTCACCTACCCAGCAAAATTGAGTAGAATCCTGCAAGGGGAAAATGAATATTTAATAATAATGATAATAATAACAATAATAAAAATAATAATAAAAGAAGGCTTTCAAGCATTCCTGATGAAAAGACCAGAGGTGAACAGAAAATTTGACTTCTAAATACTAGACTCAAGAAAAGAATAAAAAGGTAAACAGGAAAGAGAAAACTTAAGTTATTCAATAAGGTTAAACTGTTTGCATTCCTACATGGGAAAATGATATTTGTACCTCTTAAGAACTCTTTCATCATTAGGGCAGTTAGAAGAAGCGTATATAGACAGAGGGCATAGGTATGAGTTGACTATGATGGGATGATATTCAAAAAATAAGATTACGAGGGGTGCGCTGGGAAAAGGGAGAATGGAAAGGTAGAATGGGGGGTAAATTATCTCACATAAAAGAAGTGCAAAAGAGCTTTTATGGTGGAAAGTAAATGGGGGAGGTAGGCAACACTTGAACCTTACTCTCACCAGAATTGACTTTAAGAGGAAATAATATACACACTCAGTTGAGTATAGAAATCTATCTTACCCTAAAGGGAAATAGGAGGAAAGAAGGATAAGAGAAGAGGAGGGGACAGATAAAAGGAAGGACAGTTCAGGGGAGGTGGAGGTCAGAAGCAAAAACACTTTTGAGGAGGAACAGGGTGAAAGGAGAAAGAGCAGAATAAATGGGGGGGATCTGTATAGAGAGAAATGCACAATTAGTAATCGTAACTGTGAATGTGAATGAGATGAACTCACCCACAAAATGGAAGCAAATAATAGATTGGATTAAAAGCCAGAATCCTACAATATGTTGTTTACAAGAAATACACTTGAAGCAAAGACACAAACACAGAATAGGCTAAGGGGCTACAGTAGAATTTATCATGCTTCAGCTGAAGTTTAAAAAAAAAGCAGTAATAGCAATCATGACCTCAAACAAAGGAAAAGCAAAAATAGATCTAATTAAAAGAGATAAGTAGGGAAACTACATTTTGCTAAAATATACCATAGATGATGAAGTAATATCAGTACTAAACCAAATGATCTAGCATCCAAATTATAAGGAAAAGTTAAATACATTACAGGAGGAAATAAACAGTAAAGCTATACTACTGGGGGACCTCAACTTTCCTGTCTCAGACCTAGATAAAACTAGCCAAAAAACAATAACAACAAAGAAGCTAAAGAGGTGAATGGAATTTTAGAAAAATTAAATATGATAGACCTCTAGAGAAAAATTGAATGGAAATAGATAGGAATGTACCTTTTCTCAGTGGTACATAGCACCTACAGAAAAATTTATCATATATTAGAATATATCTCACAACCAAATGCAGAAAAGTAGAAATTTTAAATGCTTCCTTTTAATATCATAATGCAAAAAAATTACATTCAAAAATGGGCCATGGAAACATAGATTAAAAATTAATTGGAAACTAAAGAATCTAATCCTTAAGAATGAGTGGCTCAAAGAACAAATCATAGAAACAATCTATTATTTCATTGAAGAGAATGACAACAATGAGATAATATACCAAAATTTATGGGATGCAGCAAAAGTAGTACTTAGGGGAAATTGATATCTCTAAATGCTTGCATCAATAAAACAGAGAAAGAGTAGATTAATGAAGTAAGTGTGTAACTAAAGTGAGGAAACTGAATCTAGGAGAGGTTATGTGATTTGTCCTAATACACATAGCTAGGAAATGTGGCAAGTAAAATTTTAATCCAGGTCTCCTAACTCTAAGTTTAGTACACTTTCTACTCACTCTACCTAGAGAGAAGGGGCCAAGAGAACATAAAATGGCCATACTTAGCCAGAACAATGATCATTCTAGATCGTAGCCCATGTCATTGTTTGACTGACCCTAATGAAAGATTTGTTGGGGAGAAATGTGATTGTGCTTCATTACATCATTCTCAGATTTGAGAGATTTATTTCAAATAATATACCAATTCATCATGTAACCATCATCAAAACATTTTAAGTCATTGGAAAACTGGGCCTTTAATATACTTTAAGAGACCTGGGTATTTATTTCCCTTTGAAGAAACAAATTGAAAAACCCTCAGCTTTATAGTCTTTTCTAGAGAACAAGTAGTGAGATCGGAGCCCCACCTGCAGGGTTTCTTCACAGGCTACAGGTACCCAGAGAGCACTGTGCATCCACTGCACAAAAATATGTTCCTGAATCTCCAGGCTGGGCATCAGTGATGTTCAGGGAGAGGTGTAGGGCTACTTTGTTGAGCAGGACTGTCAGTCTTCCAATTTCTTTTTTATCCATACTTGAAAGAATGTCCATCAGCAATTCTGGCCCTTTCCTAGAATCCTGCTTGTACCAAGAAAAGTAGGTGAAGACACTGTTTTTGTAAGTGCAGTTCATGCTGACATGCTCTCCCTCCTGAACAGTCAAGGATTGAGGACTTTGAGACAACTGTTCTTGGCTTCTCACCCCTGCTTAGAAAGAAAATAGCAGAATCAGGAAATGCCACAAATTCATCACACATTAGAATTTAATAGACCCAACAAATAATTTAGCCTTTTCTTCCTCCTAGCTTTTGAGAAGAATGTCCTCTGGATCTCCCTATTCCTAGAAAGCATCCTACATCCATTCCCTCCCCATTACTCTCTCCCAGCTCACAGTCCAGTTGAAGACACAGGATCATTAATGTGATGCTCAAGAGGATCTCCATTCTTCTTTCCTCTCAGAGTCTCTCATCTAGGGCAATATGCTAGGAATTCCTAACAAAAGTTGCTAGTCCAATGTTTGGAAGTATTAATCATTTTTCTTTTTGCTTAAAACACAATGAGCTCTTAGATGAGCTACTGAGCCAATAGGAGACAAGCACTACATGTAGCATGGGTGTGCCCACCCAGGGATATCCAAAGTTAACCATTCAGTTTGCAAGTGAAATGGATACTCTGCCACCTTCTGGCAAGATACACAAATACTTAAAAAAAAAAGTACCAAGCCTTGAGATCACAGTATGCCAAAAAAAGGAAACTACTTTGGCTTTTGAACTTTTATAAATACAGGGGGACAAATAATTAAGCTCCCCTGTGTGTCCCTTATTAAAAAGGCAGAAAGCAATGGAAGAAAATCATAGCAATTTCTTCTTGTTTTTCAGAACACTGTCTGGGTAACTTTGGACAAATCATAAAGATTTCTGTCTTGTTTTCAGTATTTATTCATTTATTACTTCAGCTTTCATTTTAAAGGTCAACAAAAACCAGAGGGGCAATATGGTACAGAAAGCCAGGCTCAGAATCAGGAAGACCTGTGTTCAAGTCCTGACTCTAAAATATACTAGCTCTATAACCCTGAGGTAGTCACTTAACTGCCTAATCTGCAAAATTAAGGATTTGGACTAAACAGCTTCTGAAATCTCTTCCAGTTCTAGACCTATGATTCTAAAGATTCTAAATGAAAGGCACAAACATGGCTCTGCCTTCAAGAAATTTACATTCTGATGGGGAAATAACATGCAAAAAAATATACACATACAAGATATACAGTGAAAATGAAAGATAATCTCAGAAGGAAGGCAATAGCAGGTGGAGAAAGATGAGGAAGATATATAAGGGGTAGGAATCTCATCCTGCAAAAGCTGGGGTTTAGTTGATTCATGGAAGAGATCAGGAGGCTATTATGATGATGGAGAGCAATCCAGGCACAGGAGACAGCCAGTAAAAGAGCATGGAATAGACAGATAGAGTGTTGTGTGCCAAGAACAACAACTGGATGCTAGAGAATTTGGAAGAGAGTAAAGAGTGAAAAGACTGGAAAAGTAGGAAAGAGCCAAGATATGAACGGCCTTAAAAGCCAGACAGAGAATTTTAAGTTTTATTGTGGAGGTAATGGGGATCCATTGCAGTTTCTTGAGTAAGGTAGTGATATAGTCAAACCTGTGCTTTAGAAAAATTACTTTGGCAGTGAGTGCAAGATGGATTGGCATAGGGAGAGATTTGAGATAGGAATACCAAAGAACACACTATTGAAATAGTTCAGGCATGAAGACAGGTCATTACTGTATGAATTGAGAGAGGTGGTATGTACAAGAGATAATTCAAAGGTACATACTTGTTCCAAAGTATACTATTTGACAACAGATAGGATATATGAAATGAGTGTATGAGAGGCATCAAGGATAACATTGAGGTTTCAAAAATAGATGACTAGGATAATTATGGTATGGTATGGTATTGGTGATAGATAAGCTTCAAAGCATCTTGAGGGGGAAAATAATGAATTCCCTTTGGGAAATGTTGAGCTTGAGATGCCTATAGAATATCCAATTCAAGATGTTCAAAAGGCATTTAGTGATGAGGAACTGGGGATCAGAAGACCAGGGCTGGACATATAGATCAGTTAATAAACTACTTAGGGATAATAATTGAACCCATGCTGGTTGATGAGATTATCAAATGAGGTATATAAAAGGAAAAGAAATCTCAGACCAAAAAGACCTTGGAGAGGGGGCCAGAGGGAAGGAGAGATGAGGACTCAATGTCACTGGATATGAGTTGGAAAAAAAAGTCAATGAAGGATGAGTCAGAAAGTAAGACAAGAAGCGGGAGAGAGTATCATGAAAACCTTTAGGAGAAAATATACAGGAGAAAAATTATGAGAGTGTCAAAGGCTGCAGAATGATAAAGAAGGGTAAGCCAAGTGTTTAAATTTATAACACAATGAGTTTTCTTAATTGGATTTTAGTGAAGAATATTTACATATGATTCTCAATCTTTACCAATAATCATGGAAATTGCTAACATCCCAGGTAGTCACAAGATCTAAATTTCAGGAATAAAAGCTCACTAAAAAAGTCAAGTCAAAAGAATATGAAAGTTGTACACATCTCCTATCATAAATCCTGTGTTAATTCAATGTGCTCCCCACTTCATATTGGAAACTGACTGCATTAGTGCTTTGATGATACAAAGAAATTGGTTCAGACAGAGCCAACCACTTCCCAACATGTGCCTAAAATCAGGAGGTAATCGATTCCATTTGCCATACAAGGTTTCTGCCTCAAGAATAAGAGGTTTTGTTTTTTTCCATTTTTTCTTTTTTCACTTTGGTATACTGCCTCTTAATCAAATGAAACTTATAAGACATTGAAGGGTCATAGTTAATCACACTCCAAAATCAGGGAGCACCTGGGGTACCTAACCAACTTCTAAATCAGAAAGGTGCAGATGAGAAATAGGTGGAACACTAAGGTTGGGGTGAAGTTTCAGTCACTCTATATACAGATAGGATTTGTTTCAATGCAACTCAGAAGAAAGAGCTTTGAGGGATTATAGGATAATAGACTTAGAGCTGAAAGGGAACTCAAGAGTTCTTCTGGTACAAATTCATCATTTTGCAAATGAGGAAATTGAAGCTCAGGGAGGCTGAGTGATTTGCCTGAGATATAACAATAACAAATAACATATCTGTTATGATCTAAACTAAACTATGATCTAAACACTGTGCTAAGCACTTTACAACTATATCTCATTTGATTTTTATAATAACCCTGGGAAGTAGGTGCTATCTCCATTCTACAGATAAGAAAACTAAAGGCAGAGTTAAGTGACTTGTCCAGGGTCACACAGCTAGTGTCTGAGACCAGATTTGAAGTCAGGTCTTCCTAATGCCAGGCTCCATACTCAATCCATTACATCTTTGTAGTTACCCTCGAGATATGAAAGGTAGCAATCATTGAAGGGGAAGATTTGAACCCAGGTCATCAGTCACTAGAAATGGTATTCTTTCCACTGGACCATGCAGTCTCTCAATTTATAATTCACAGAATGTTTTCTTCACAATGAATGAGGATGACAATAAAAGTTCATGTGTATATATATATGGATATGGATATATGGATATATACACATATATGATATATACATATATACATATACGTATATGTACATACATACATACATACATATATATATATGAAGTAGGATTGGCCAATAAAGGCCAATTTCTAAAAGTATGAGCAGCCATTCCTGTGGAGACCCAAACTGCAAGTGTTGGCGTAGGCTGGGTAACTGTGCCCTGAGAGGGGTCATCACAAATGGGCACTCCTCCAGGATCTATTTAACTCCAACCTGCCTTTGATGGAAATTGTAATAAAGGACTAGTTAATGAAGGCCAATCATGGGCCCATTACTGGACCCTTACCAGCCAATTCCATGTTATATTTTTGTTACATTTTTTAAAAATAAGCTTCTATTAATGTTTTTTATTTTTTTTCCTACACCTACATAATTTCCCCTAATTTTGTTCTTCCTCTCTTCCAGCCACCTCATCTTATATCTTCTGAAGACAAGAAAAAGAAGAGTAAAAATCACCATAACTGATAAATGTATTTTTTAAAAACCTGAAAACACATGCAAAGTGAAACACTTTTTGACCTTCCTCCTCTGCAAAGGGGTAAAATGGGGGGTATTTTTTATATCCCTTCTTTTGAGCTTTTCTTGTTCTTTGTACTTTTGCAACATTTATTTTTGTGAGTTTTTTCCCATTTCCATTGTTGTAGTCATTATATGTATTGTCTCTGTTTATGTCACTGCACCAGTTTATGTAGTTTTTTTCATGCTTCTCTGTATTCACATATTTATCCTTTCTTATGTCACACTATTATTTCATCACATTTTTACACCAAAATTTGTTTAGCCATTCCCCAAATAATGGGCATGTATTTTGCTTCCAATTCTTTACTATCAAAAAAAAGTGCTGCTATAAATATTTTGATGCATATTTTTTCCTATCAATAGTCTCCTAGTAGTAAAATATTTGAGTCAAAGGATATTGACACTCTAGTTACTTTATTTGAAAATTCCAAATTACTTTCCAAAATGCTTGTATTGACTCATAGTTCTATCAATAACATTCTAATGTGCCCATCTTCCCACAATCCTTCCACCATTAACTTTTCCTATCTTCCTATATTTTGGCATCTTGGTCCATTTTCAGGGTGGAACATGATGTTTTGAGGTGTTTTCTTATTAATAGTGTGTTAGAGAATTCTTTCATATTCCCTAAGAGATAAGTGGTCAAATGATATGATCAAACCATCGTCAAAACAATTTCAAACTATTAATAACCATATGAAAGAATGCTCTATCTCCCATTTGTGGATCACTGAAAAGAAAAAAAAATCCCTTTGAGGAACATTTCAAAGACTGTCTCAGGAGGTTTGTGTTCAGCACCACTTGTGAGCCCTCTCACTGTGTCACCCAGAGCACAGAAGTACACAGCTGCATCTTCCTCTTGGACATGAAGCTTCCTCAGATGGTAGGAGGTTTCATCCTTGTTGAGGTTGGCCTGAAAGCCTTTGTTGCTTTCCTGTGAAGTATGTCTCAGGAGGACTTGAAGCTCTTGGTTGGGATACTGGACATACCAGAGGAGAAAAGGGCTCCCAGAATAGGAATAAGTGCATTTCAACTCCACTGGGGACCCTTCAGAGACAGAGACTTGGTCTTCAGGCTGAGTCACTGACTGTGCTTCTGTTGTTCCTATTGAAAATAAAAATAAAAATAAAAAAGGAAATCATTATATAGTTCAATCAAAAATGGTTCAAAGAAGATTCTAAATGGAACAATGAAAATGAGTAGAATACAGTGTTACTCACTAGGTATGAATAGCATCACAAGGGCGAGAATGGGCATAAAGGTCATGGCTCACCAGGATGAAGCTGGGGTTCCTCTCTTATTGGGGGGTAGGTGGGTCAGTGGGACTAAAGAGATTGGTCACTTCAAGGAAGAAA